CATAGCCGTGAATACGGTGCAATGGTCAGACCAAGGGATTGGAATTATTTCAGAAGTCAGGAGCCGGGGGGAAGAGGCGGTGGTAATGAAAATATGATCTATCCTGGAGAATGACTGGTGGGGGTGAGAATAGAAGGTGTATTGGCGTTTAGTCGGGTTGAGTTCCTGCCATGTATCTATCAAAGAATAATGTTGTAGTATGGCTTGGAAGGTTTGTTTAGAGGCAGGGACAGGTGATGGTTGAGGAGATTTGTTGAGAAAGGGATATATTACACTGTTAGAGTCTCCGCTAACAATTAAAGTTCCGCTCTTATGGTGGTCTATAACCGAGAGTATGTGGGAAAGGAACGGTAAAGGGTCTTGGTTTGGGGCATAGTATGCAACAATGGTAACATCTACGTCTAGGAGTTGCCCTACTAGCAGGAGGTAACGACCCTCCTGCGTCTTTGATTTCGGTGCATAGCGTGAAAGGTGTTGTGCGATGGAAGGCAATCAGTACCCCCCTGCGTTTGGTGGTGGCAGAGGCTGTATAGACCTGAGGATATTGAGGGCCAAAAAATTTTAGGGTGGAGTTGGGAGTGAAGTGTGTTTCCTGTAGACAGACCACGTGAGCTTTAAGTGTAGCAAAGGTTCGGAAAGCCTTAGTACGTTTCTGTGGAATATTGAGGCCCTGTACATTCAGGGTGAGGATATTTAACGAGCCCATGGGGAAAGTGCATAGTGGTTTGGATAGCATGGCACTTCCGCCCGGGATGGAGCCTGACAATTACTGTGGGGGATGAGAGCGTTGCGGAGTATGTTGCACAAAGTCATGGAGTCATGTTGGGGGGAGGAGGGGTACGGTATGAGAGAGGTAACATGAAAGAAGGGGTGTAGGAGGCCATTTAAGGCCTAAAAGGTGGGTTCCCAAGGACACCCTGGATCAGGGTGGGCTAGGGAGAAATAGTAGCCCAAGTGTTATTAAATAACCAATAACACAGGGGCTAGGGTGGAGTGTGCAGGGTACGCGGACCGTGAGGATGACAGCAATGTGATTAATAAATGGTGGCGGGGTCCTGGTAGAAAAAACAGGTATATAAAAAAAAAAAAAAAATCTGAGAAAATCAGGGTGTCCCAGACTCAGACGGCATTAACAGTACTAGTGAGACATCTTGGGTGTAGGGGTGTGGCCGCCAAAGCCTAGGCTCCCAAATATAAACTAAAATGGAGCCCAGGAAGGGGGGTGCAGAACAATCCCCAGGTTGCGGGGCAACCAAAATTTAACAGGTAGAGGGAGAAAGGATATCAATGGTGTTAACCGCAATGATAGTCAAAAGAGTACACCGTTTGGTGTGTGTGGCAAAAAAAGGAAAAAAAAAAAAAAGATAAGCGTGGGACATAGTTCAGTCCATGGTATCTTGCAAAGTTGTACGTGTGGGGAAGGACTTCCGCGGCGAGCAGGATGTGGACCTCCGCTTGCCGACCTCGCTGGGGGATGTAGTTGCAGGCCGCAAGGTGTCTAAAAGGTCTGGAGTCTTGCAGGTGTAATCTCGGGTCTGGTATCGGAATCGCACTGCAAAGGGGAAGCTCTATATGGTAATAATTGTAGGTAGGTATGCCCTGCGCTGGGAGTTGTGGGGCTTAGATGTATTGATAGTATTCTGCATTACGGGCAGCTTGTAGGAGTTGCTCCCTGGTACAGAAAAAGTGAAGCTTGGCTATAATGTTGCGTGGTGGACCGTCCGTGCGTCATGGTGCTAACGCCCTTTGAACTCTATCCAATTCTAATCTTTCGACTGGGATAGCTGGGGCAAGCTCTTGGAACAGAGCTGTTAACGTTGATTGGACATCGACGATCGTTTCCGGAAGGCCACGGATACGTAGGTTTGAGAGCCGTGCTCAGTTTTCAAAATCCTCCAGTCGTGTTAATAATGTTGCGTTTTCGTCACACAGGAGATCAAGGTCATCCGTATGCGTCTGAAGCGAGGCGTCAAGACCATCTACCCTCTGTTCTAGGTCCGCAGTGCGTTGTCCTAGTTCACAAATTTCCCTAGATAGCGTGGCAGTGATGCAGTCCGAGGTTTGCTTCAAAGCTTTGTATAGCATTTTTTCAAAGCGTGATAATAGGTCAGGGGGTGTAAGGTCAGGCGTCAGGGCTTGTGCAGGACATCGGTTTCAGTGTCAGACTCACCCTCAGACGTGCAGGGATGGCTGGGCTGCGGATCCTGCAGGGCTGCATATGCCCCTGCCGCCATCTTTGTGGAGGCCTTTGCCAGGGCCTCTTTGATTGTTCTGGTTGAAGGGGGGACCTGGTGCCGGGGTGCCCCCTTAACCATTTTGCTGCTTGTGGGGGGGGGGGGGGGCTGTTATGCTGATCTCAGCCCCCCTGCTCTCTCTCCTCAGCCTCCGTGCTGTGTAGACAGCGGTGGGCGGGCCTGTGAACAGCTCACAATGGGGACAGAGTCCCCTGTCGGATTTCTCTGACCTTCTGCGGAGGATCCGCCGTAGACCAGGATGGATCAGACCCTGGGAGGGTTGCCTCGGGGATCGGATCCCCCCAGGCTGTATTGCAGGCCGGGACCCGCTGCTCCTTGGCGCTGTCACCTGACAGGGAGACGGAGCCTCATCAGGACATGTCCGTCCCGCCGGCCGCGCATGCGCACTCTCCCCCTCCCCCATTTTGGACAATTTCATGCAGCTGCAGGCATCATCCTGGTATAACCATTCAAAGTCCAGGGATGTACCAGTACGTTGCTGGTCCAAGATTGTACAAATGTCTAAATAGTGGCATGTTTGAATAAAAATTGTCCACGTATAAGTGGTTCCCCACATGGAAAAAGGATGACACCAAGTCCCAAACTATCTTGCCACTGCTCTCCATGTAGTCTGGGCATAAGGGGGGCTCCACGTGATCTTTCCCTCATAAATCTAAAACTTATAGGTATAGCCTGTTGCTCTCTCACAGGTCTTCTACATCTTGACCCCATATTTGGCACGCTTGGTGGGGAGAAATTGTTTGAATGCAAGGCGGACAGAAAAATTAATGAGGGACTCATCAATGCAGATGTTTTGCTGGGGATTATAGACATCTACACATTTTTGGTTAAGGTGATTTATGAGGTATTTCTACTATAGGGTGGTTAAGAAGCGATTCAACATGTCCAGTAAAAAAAATAAATAAATAGAAAATAACATTTTGTCATAAATTTAGGCCAAAATGTATTCTGTGACATGTCTTTGCTAAAAAAAAATCCCAATACATGTAAATTAATTGTTTTACGTGAAATTTATAGCGTTTACAAATGGCGGTATAGATACTGGAATTTTTTAGTTTTTTGATTTAATAATAATGTCGGTGATCAGCGACATATAGCGGTACTACGGTGGACATTCTAACACTGGGGGGGAACTGACTTGGTGTCAATGACATCCCCAATGACACCAATACAGTGATCAGTGCTAAAAAAAAAAAAAACCCACTGACACTGTACTAATGGCACTGGACAGGAAGAGGTTAACATTTGGGGGAAATCAAAGGGTTAATTGTGTGCTAGGTGATTTTTTTTTTTTTTTCTAGGAGGCGGGGAGGGGGGTGCTTAACTCTAAAAGCACACTTCTCTGGATGGCTCTGCTCAGCCATCCAGTGAAGTGTGCCCAAGCTGACAGGGAGGAGGGATGTTGGTAAACAAAGCAGCCCTCCTCCCCATCGGTGATTCTCGGCAATCACTGGGCACTAGCAGGTAATCACTGGCCGGGACCAGGTGATTGACGCCCGGGGCTGCGATCACACGCCTCATGCGCCCCCCCTCCCGGAAATGCAAAAAAAGTATATTTACATAATTTTGTGCACCTGTACCGCCATGTAGCAGTATATCTGTTACACGGCGGTGGGTATTAAAAGATTTGTCAAAAACTGTTGTTTTGTGTTCAATTAAAGATGCTAATGAGCCTGTCTGCCAGCAAACCCCCATAATCACCGGGCCAGGGTTGTGTGGAAGAGGCCCTTGTCCCCTCCAAAGCTGATGGCACATGGCCTGGTAAGGTGCAGGGGAGGTCACTCAATTATCCTCCCCCCCCCATTTCATGCCCTGCCAGGCCTGTGCTCGGATCAAGGGTCCAGTCAGAATTTAGGAGGGACCCCATTTGTTTTTTCTTTTTTTTCAGGGAGAGTATTCTTCCCTCTGTCTTTGGTTGTGTCAAGCAACACACTCTGGGGAGGGGATTGTATCCGGATTGGAATCATTGTAACAAGTGAATCCTGTCGGCGATACTTTGTTGTTTTCAGGTCCATCGTTTGGTGTATTCCCTTCTTGTCGGTGCAATTCTTTCTCCTTGGACTGAGGAGAAGGGAACACCCTGGAGGCTTTTACATGTTAGTACAAAGAAAAGAAGTGTCAGGTGACACCCTGTAATGGGCGGAGCCCTTTGTATCTGTCCCAATGTCTGCCATGACAGGACACAAGGATCTCCTGTGATCGGCCGATGTTTTTGTTCCCGGCTCCTTGTAGTCAGCTAGAGATGAGCCGAGTTGTGTATTAGAGGGAAATGTTTGGTGATCCCCCCCTCTTCCCTCGTGTAATGTGAAGCGGATTGTAGTGGGGGATGGGAGCAGATTGTTTTGTGGGTAGAATGTGTCCCCCCAAGCAGGTAGAAGGCAGAATGGGCCCCCCACTCCGGAGGATGGTTGTGTTTGCAGCCTCTGTGTTCAGCCTCGTGAGCAGCTCCTGACAGCTGGAAGTGACCCCCGATAAGTGACAGTCCAGGGAGCAGATCGGCTCCCCGGTGCACATCGGACATCGTTCTATTTCGAATAAAATCGGTTTTATATCTACCGGGAAACACATGAAGGGAGAGAATATACTCCAACACTGGAATGACAGCCAGTGGGCGTGTCTGATGTGTAACCAATAGCAGGACAGAGTCGAGTTGTGTGTCAACCAATCGCAGTGTTAGAAGGTCTGTATATAAGGCGGAGCGCCGTGTGATTTGTAATGAACTATTGTGGAAACATTTCCCGAGTCATGACGGAGACTGAGAGCGCCCCAGCCGCCGCTCCTCCAGCGGAGGCCGCCGCCAAGAAGAAGCCGGCTAAGAAGGCGTCAGCCGGAGGGAGCCAAGAAAGGCATCAAGAAGGCGTCCGGTCCCGCCGTGTCCGAGCTCCTCGTCCAAGCCGTGTCCGCTTCCAAGGAGCGCAGCGGGGTGTCCCTGGCCGCCCTGAAGAAGGTCCTGTCCGCCGGAGGATACGATGTGGACAAGAACAAGAGCCGCCTGAAGATCGCCCTCAAGGCGCTGGTGACTAAGGGGAGCCTCGTCCAGGTCAAAGGCCATGGGGCCTCCGGATCGTTCAAGATCAACAAGAAGCAGCCCGACGGCGCCAAGGCGAAGCCCAAGAAACCGGCCGCTAAGAAGAGCAACAAGAAGCCATCGGCTGCGGCCAAGCCCAAGAAACCAGCGCCAAGAAGGTCGCCAAGTCCCCCAAGAAGGCGGCCGGCAAAGCCCCCACCGCAGCCAAGAGCCCCAAGAAGAAGCCGGCCGCCAAGAGACCGGCAAAGGCTGCCGCCAAGAAGGTGACCAAGAGCCCCAAGAAGAGCAAAGCTGCAGCCAAGCCGAAAAAAGGCGCCAAGAGTCCCGCTAAGGCCAAGCCGGCAGCTAAGAAGGCGGCTAAGCCCAAGAAGGCCGCTCCGAAGAAGAAATAATGGGCGGCGACCTCCTTCATCTCCACCCCCCAAAGGCTCTTCTCAGAGCCCCCCACCTCCCCCCAACAGAGCTCTCCATACATACACCGACACGAGCCGCATTTCTCCCTCCTCCAGTCTCCATCCTCCTCACATTGTACACTTGTCCTTTATAGGTCATCCAATGATTCCTCCGATCCTACAAGATGATTACTGGTTGGCCAAAGGAGAGATCCCTCCCGATACATTTCACAGGCCCGACCCCCCCCTCCACACACACCGACATCTGTCATATGCGAATTGGAGATCTGTTATTTCCCGCACACTGTGGGGTGGGGGAAGGTAACCATGAACATTTTCCGCACACTAGGATGGGGGGGGGTAACAATGAACATTTTCCCGCACACTGTGGGATGGGGGGGGGGGTAACAATGAACATTTCCCGTACACTGGGATGGGGGGGGGAGGGGGGGGGGTAACAATGAACATTTCCCGATCCTTCTACAAGGAATTCCCAGCCTTCATTATTATTGCGGCCATTGTGGAAGTTGTACGGAAACGCCATGTAATGATCGGGGACACATCATCCTCTGGACGGGATCTAATGATCGCACCGAGAACATCGTGTTGTGCGGACAATGGACTCCTTCCTATGGATGGATCGCCTCTACAACACAATACAACACGGGGAGCGGCTTTCCAGGTGCCATTTGGAGGAAAACAACCGATCTTCGGGCTCTGCGAGTCTCCGGGGAAGATCCGCTACAGTCTGCTATTGGCTGACAGATAAAACGCCGGATGTCTGATTGGTGGAGAGGAATATTTGTAAATGTCACCTGTTCTAGTTGCGGCAATGATTACCCCCCCCCCAGATGATCGATAGGGAATCGTGAGACAGAAAAGGTTTCGGGGAGTTTCCAGATTCTCCACAATGATGAATTGTATTTTCTATAGAACACCGGCCGGGGCGGCACACGGAGAGCAGAAGGAAGAATCCTCCCGGTGTGTCCGTGTGTCCCGCCCCGGAGGATGTGATCTGTGATGAGCCCGTTGTGATCGGAGGAGGTAATAGAGGACATGACTGACCCCCAATATATTAGTATCGGATGGCGGAGGCTTTACAATATAAAGAGGACAGTTGATATAGGACCCCTGATCAATGGGAGCTTACAATCGAGGAGAAATCGTGTGGATCCAGGCATCCAGCACACCCCATTATTAGATGCTTTGAAGATTTTTCAGCAGTGGTAAAACAGTGAAAACAGAGGCGAGGACCATACAGATACAGAATGTAGTAAAGTATTATTTTATAGTAAAACCTTTTTCCAAGTAAAACAGAATCGCTTAAAACTGTACCATGGAAATGATGTGGAAGGCACAAATAACACCCTGACGTATGTAAAGGGACCACAAAAGATATCCAAAGAATATTCATGTATAGTTCAGACACCCAGATTTCTTGTAGAGAAGTAGATGCCCCTCTGATTAGAGCTACAGGAACTAAATATTGTATAAATATTAAAATTAGCATAACGCAGACTTTTTTCATGCCAGAATTTCATTGTTGTGGCGCGGTACATTTTGTGTTGAGAGCTCTGTGTGGGGGGATCATTCGGTGGGTTATGAGGCTCTGAGAATTGCCCGAGCCGTTGGTTGGTCCGGTAGTGTAGAGCTCTGTGTGGGGGGAGGTTGGTGCTCTGAGAAAGAGCCGGAATGTCGGGTTGTGTGGAATGTCTGTTGCGGGGGGGTCTAGGCCCTCTCTCCGCGGATGCGGCGTGCCAGCTGGATGTCTTTGGGCATGATGGTGACCCTCTTGGCGTGGATGGCGCAGAGGTTGGTGTCCTCGAAGAGTCCGACGAGATAAGCCTCTGCGGCCTCCTGCAGAGCCATGACGGCGGAGCTCTGGAAGCGCAGGTCGGTCTTGAAGTCCTGGGCGATCTCTCGGACGAGGCGCTGGAAGGGCAGCTTGCGGATGAGCAGCTCGGTGGATTTCTGGTAGCGGCGGATCTCTCGGAGAGCCACGGTGCCGGGCCTGTAGCGGTGAGGCTTCTTCACTCCGCCGGTGGCCGGGGCGCTCTTGCGGGCGGCTTTGGTGGCCAGCTGCTTGCGGGGAGCTTTCCCTCCGGTGGACTTACGGGCGGTCTGCTTGGTACGAGCCATACTCTACTCAGATCTTGGCTGGGAACTGCGAATGATGCGCGCCGCTCTGCAGAGATTTATACACATCCCTGCCCTCTGATTGGAGAACTACGCCACGCCCCTTCTAATGATTGGGTTTACATAAAAAGAGCGGGATTTTCAAAATGCCCGCCAGGATCTGCACGTTATCTCTGTAGGTAGAGAAGCCCGCTGTGTCAGGGGTGGGGGGAGGGGAGGTCCTCCACATCATACAATGCTCGGAGCTCTCCTTACTACCAAAGAAGAGAAGATTAATCAGAGATCTGCTAATAATCAGAGATCAGAGACTCCCTGTACAATGTAACAATTACATCCATTGACATCGGACTGGATTCCTCCATAATACAGTGAATGGGATGACAGAAGATCCTCCTCCGATCTCACGGATCCGATGATTCCTCTGTTCGGGACTAAGAAGCAGAACGTTTGTCGCCCATCTCGGTCCATCCAGCACAATTGTGGACTAACAGGGACAGTCAGAAGGGCTGCAATGTATTGTCTATAGAAGAGCGAGATGACAAGAGACATGACTTGTGTGCGGATCTGGGAGGAGATACAATGTGATTTCTGCCTTTTCTCTCCGAATCCCACTTCCAAGGACAATCCGATCCCGGCGAGGACAGTGTGGACTTTGATGGCACAATGACAATCTATCGCTGAGGATGTGAGGAGGCGGACATCTAGTCTGCAGCAATTCATCCCATTCATTTTACATTTACGAGTTTATTTGTAACAAACATTATTTTATTTATGTGTCTTATATTTTCATCTGATGAATTTTTTTTTAAATTCCCGCCAAGATCTGCAGGTTATCTTGTTGCAGAATATCCCGATCTCTCTGGGAGCTCTTTACTGCCAGATGGGAAAACATTGATATAAGAAAGATGTTTTTATAATTTAATATTAAACTTCTTATCAATGTAAGAATTGTAAATCTCCGAGAGAGGACTATTTCTGTCCATAATTCAGTAAACTGGGTCGCCTGTCTACACGCACATGAACTTTAATGACATCCCAGTCTTAGTCAGTAGGGTTCAATATTGAGTTGGCCCCCCTTTGCAGCTATAACAGCCAAAGGTGTTCTATGGGGTTGAGGTCAGGACTCTGTGCAGGCCAGTCAATTTCCTCCATAACAAACTTGCTCCTCCATGTCTTTATGGACCTTGCTTTGTGCACTGGTGCGCAGTCATGTTGGAACAGGAAGGGGCCATCCCCAAACTCTTCCCACAAAGTTGGGAGCATGAAATTGTCCAAAATATCTTGGTATGCTGACACCTTAAGAGTTCCCTTTACTGGAACTATGGGGCCAAGCCTGAAAAATAACCCCACACCATAATCCCCCCTCCACCAAACGTTACACTTGGCACAATGCAGTCAGGTAAGTATTGTAGTTGTTTCAATTTAGAGTCAGGGAATTTGATGGTTTAAGGTCCACAAATTTTTAGTTTGGTTTAGAATAGTAGCCTTGTAGTATTTCTTGACATCTGGAGCTCCCAATTCATTGAGAGTTTTTGAAATACATAGTGTAGAGGCTTTTAATCTTGTTTTTTTGCCCACCCAAAAAAAGTGGTTGATAACGGACTGTAGCTTTTGTGGATCAGATACTAAATATAAATGGGCAAAGTTCTGAAAAAGTAGAGGTGGTGGGGGGTAGTAGAAACATTTGGTTGAGTGCTATACACCCTGCCAATGAAGCTTTTGATGGTGTTGAGGTCTTTACTGAGATTTTCAAGTTTAGTGACTAACACAGATAGATTAGTTCATAGGAGATTAGAAAAGTGAACACTGAGTTGGATACCCAGGTATGTCATGAAGGAGTTTGGTGCCCAGGAAAAGGGGGAAATCTTGGTTATGGCCTCTTTAATATCTGTTGGTAGGCGAGACTCCTAACCAGGGGTGGACTGACCATTCGAGCACTCAGGCATTGCCCGAGGGCCCGGGGGTTAATAGTGGGAACCATGAAATGCTCCTGGTACCTTTTTATAGGCTTTTTTTGGGTTTGCTTTATGTGTGGGCAAGGACACTGGGGCCCCATGATCCCCTATTGCCCGGGGGTCCCATGAGTTGTCAGTCCACCCCTGCTCCTAACATAGCAGATTTGGTGTAGTTGAGTTTATAGAGGGATATTTTAGAGAATTGATCAAGGAGTGAGCATAGGTGGGGCAAGGAATTTTCCAGATCTGTCAAAGATATAATAATATCGTCAACATAGAGGCCTATTTTACGTGAAGTGTGACCAACTTGTATTCCTGTGACCTGTGGGTGGGTACGCATGGCCTGTACTAAGGGTTAAATCACCATGGCAAAGATCAAGGGTGAGAGAGGACATCCC